CAGAGTCTGTCAGAACGCTGCCCTAAGGTAACTCACGCTTCTGAGATCTCTGTGGGATGTTGTGGAAGAAATAACCACATTGCTTACCGCTGCTTCCTTCTCTTGGGCTCTTGCTATGCTGCCCTCTATTTCCCACCGTGTTCCACCAGTAGGCGACTTGTTGCAGGGGTGCCACAGAACTTGTTTAGTGCATAAAACTGTGCCCCGCTGATTGTTCTGTCGCACAGGTTATCGTAAAGAGGCAAAAGCTGCAATAACTGTCTCTAACCCAATTGACCGAATGGTTGCAGGCTGCTGAATGAAGTGCCATTATGGGACGAATCCCTGTATTCCGTCTACAGCTGACAGCAGCCTTGTCTGTTCTGAAGTGGATCTATTTCCTGTGTAGTTCCTATTCGGTTCCTACCCATTTCTCATGCAAAATGACGACAGTAACCCATGCTTACGGCCTTTATATCCCCATTTGTGCACTTGTGAGGAAAAAAAATCTGACTTGTGACACACCAAACAACTCTGATACATGTTCCACTCACATTGTTAGTATCTGATTTCATAATCGGATCCAATGAAACTGGTTGAATCATCTGAGATACAAAGCACTACTAAAAAGGGTGTGGTCACTGCATTCAAAAAACACTTTAAAAATGTTCCTGAAAAAAATTTTGTATCTTTTTCACAGTAGATTACTTTCGCCAGACAGTAGTTTGCTGCAACGAAAATATTCTTTGCACTGTTTTCCTCTATGTAAAATCCTTCTGGGAACTTTTGTTTCTTTGAAATACAGTTTAGTGTGGTAAGTGTATAAAAAATAGATAAAACAAGTCCATGCCCTGTTTAATTTTCCCATTTGCTATGCTAGGCACCCAGCCTTTTGATAAGCTTAATCCTCTGTAACTGGGTTCAAAATAGAGCCATGGAAGAGGTGACTTCTATTTCAGTTTTCATCTATATTTTTAGTGTTCTGTCAAAGGTACTAAAGGATACTTGGTCTGCAGTTGTTGGCAATAGTTGCTATTCCATTCAAAGCGTAGCTTCCACAGGCTGCTTTACCCTAATACGGGAAAGACACTGTATCAGTCACCCAGGTCCTTTATACAATCTCCAGTTCCATATCTGTTAGTAAGAATGGTGTATTTCCTAGAAAATTATGATCATCAATAGCCAAATATTTTTGGTTGAGTAAAATCTCATAATGTGGATGTCTATACAGAAATTCAGAGCAAGTTATGCGAACAATTTGATGTTGATTTACAGTCGAAGGGCTAATACAGAATTTACAGAGTGAGCATACCTATGTTATAGCATTTACAATTACGTGAAACCACGGGTGCACTCTTCCCCTGTAGAGGAAAAAATACCAGTTGTATAGATTATTATGAAATAAATTTACCTGACTCTTATACAAGACTGCCTCTCTCCAAGCAGATCTTTTTGCACATCGGTAGCAAATAAATAGTTAGAATTCCAGCTAAAGCTGCAGCCCAACAGGAGAGCATTCCACACACTCATTCACACTAATTCAATCTTCCATCTATTGTCAAGGCCTGTGAACCTACCAACAGAGACTGGAAAAAGAAGTAGATAGTTTCATTTCTATGGTAAATCAGCCTTACCGGTCCCTACCATTAAAAATTAGTCTTTTTATTAATTGATGAAGAAAATCCTCCAGATGTAAATTTCTTCTTGCACTGATGCTTACTATTGTAACTATTATGTCCATTAATAGTTTATTATAAATTAATAGAGCTAACCATATATAGCTACACTTCCCCCCCCAACCTCTTTCATATTTCACATTGGTGTCTTCCAACCTTCCCAAAATATCTGCATTAGAAAAAACCACCGAAATCACTAAGAACTGAGCTTTTATCGTTGAGGTAGTTATGGGCAGGCACTTCAATTTCTGGTCATCTAGATGACATCTGACACTGAGGAAGTAACATTTCCTTTTCCTCTGCTTTTTGTGAACAGGACAGTATGACCTATCTCTACTTTTTCCCTGGACTGCTATAACTATGAAATCATTGTCAGCAGTGCAGCTGCCCATAAAAATGAGTATCATGGGTAAATCAGACTTTACTGAATCAGTTCTAAGAGAACAGATACTTGTGTCCGATTATAAAAGATATAAATTGACTATTGTTCTCTTTTTTTATGAATCTAAACAGATAGCAGCAAGTAAAATAATTTATGGCAGATAGAGGGGAAAATTCCTTCAGGTGATCTACAGCACAGCCTTTAACTTCTGACTTTTAGAAATAATTTGGGTCTGACCAGTTATAGTTTGAATACACATGTGCATTATTTATTTTTCACTATAACTCAAAAAGTTTGTTGTGTGGGTTTGGGGTTTGTTTTTGTTTGTGGGGGATTTCAGTATCAAGTCATGCAAGATAAAGGAGAGCTGACCTCCTTACATTTTTTCAAGATGTATTATCCACTTTGAGTGGAAAGATATGGTTTGATATGAGCATGTGCAGATGTGTGGATAACACATCTCAAAGAACTGCAGATACAGAGAAGCACCTTATCAAATTCCCCTCTAAATTACTAATGCAACTATTCACGTGCTTAGTGACCCTTCAGAATGTCTCTGATTTACCTGGTGACAGAACTGGGAATTGCTGGATAGAAACCCAAAGATGACAACAGGTATAAACATTTTAAACATCATCTTGTAAACTCAACATAGCTAATGCGTATGCAACTATCTGAGTAGTTCAAGTCTTCAATAATAACAAGTTTTACATACTCATTACAGATTTTTCTGTAGCATTCTCAGTTTGATTGTGCCAGAACAGAAGTCCATTATAAAAACCTTCATTTACCCGAGCAACATAATGCTTATGAGTGGTTTCAAGGCTTATGCCCGAAATTACAATCTGCAGAATTCTTTTACTGGAACAGTGCTTTGAAATCTATTTGGACAAAACCAAAAAGCATGTAAATCTCAGGTAATTATCACAACTTCTTTGATAAAATTAATCCAGTTCAGGTTAGTAGAGTTTTGTAGTTGGTTTGGATAGATTTCACTTGACAAGCAGAACCATGTGCTTGGAGACTTTCAAGCAGGATAGAGGAAAAATAATTACATAAAATCACATTAAGGCAGTTTTATTTAAAAATATAAAAAATAAAAAAATCAGACCCAGTCTGACCAATACAGAAGTTTAAGACAACTAAAGTTTCGTACAGTTGCTTGACTACACGAAACACCCATCAAAATACCTGTTTCACTTCCAGACGTAGAGTATGAATACCAGTCAGGGAGTCTGGTTAGTTGTGTGGTGTGCGTAACTGTATTAAAAGTGTTTGGATAACACAATCAGACTCTTAAGCCAAGTCTTCCTAAACTACTATGAAAAGCCAAATGAAAGAAACTGAACAAAAATGTTTTATTTGTATACGTAACTTCTAAATTATTGTATCATAAAAATATTATTTCTGCAAATATCAGCTGCATTCTATTTTCAACAGTTGATGTGGTTATGTACAGGTACAAAATATGGCAACAACTACACTTTATAATTCAAAATGTCGAACACTCTGCCGTATCTCAAACCTTCAGCTTTCCAATGTTTTTTCCACCCTTCCAGAAAATACATTTTAAAACACCCAAACAATATTCACATAATTGAGTCTAGTAGTAATTAGAGGGAACCGTTCACCGTTAACATTCTGTTGAGAGTTTACTAATGCTTGAAAATAGTAGTAAGCTAACCTCTAATATGTATATTAACATATTTGTTTAAAAAATATTTTTACAATGATTTTTGCTGTTACTCTCATTAGGGGGAAATTACAGAATTCCTGCAAATTGAGTACAATGCCCTTCCAGCATCTCAACATACAAAGCACTTTTCCATTTTTTTAAAGTGTTATGGCTTTGTAAAAAAAACTATGCTAAATCAGATTACGTATTACTTTTCTCAATTTTGTATATTTTAAGTGTGGGCTTGTCCTACTCCTATGTTTCAGTGAATTATAATCTCTTTCTTCTGAGGACATATAATATGCTGGTTTTCACGTTATGCTAAGAAGAACTGAAGGAATTCTTCTCTCATGACCCTCCCCAGCAGAGTTGCTTGGCAGCTGCATAGATCTTTTATCAATAAAAGATAAGATTTGCAGGATTGTACAGCAAATTTTGAAGAAATAAAAATAAAAACTAATGGCAAGTGATTCCTTGTGCAACTGCCTTAGTCTGTTTTTGAAACTGAGTTTTCTTACAGCTCAAAATGCATCTATCAAAACTAGCACAATATTTGAAGTGTTGGAGCTGTCCCTTGATGTATTCATAAAGTAACCTCCTGTCAGTGGAATGTGAAGACAGGTTAAATGAGACAGAATCTGACTCCACGAGCAAAATGAGCTAAGGCACATTGATAAGGCGTCCTTCACTATTTGCTGTTATCATGCTTATAACAATAGTGCCCAGAATCGCAGTTACACAGATGGGTTTTACTTGTTCTTTGGGAACAGCAGGGATATTCTGGATGATGGTACACCTACCTAGTCACACAGAAGAAAGGACATGCATACTCTGCGTCTTTAGATAAACATGTCCAGTGGTAGTTTTAGCATTTTCTACTAATATATCACTAGCAATAGTACACTATCTTAGTCACTAAGTAATAACTCATATGCTTCTGTTTACTGGTTGGCTCAAACCAAACCAAAGTATTCATTGCCACACTAACATCTGGGAAAGAGGAGACTGTGAGGAAAGGAATTCAAACATTTCTAAAAGAAAATTATCTCTTCTGATGGAGAATTTCTTGATCTCACTGTTGGCATTTTATCTTGCTTCTGAAAAAAAAAATCCTTCTCTCATTCACTACAACACTCCTGCCATGAAATATGTCAGCACTTAAAACTAGACACTGGACTACAAAATTTACTAAGACTTAACGTTCCAAGCTATTTTATGTCCAGCTGCAAGATTATTTCTAGAAAAAAAAAAAGTGGCATCTGTAAACAGCGTGATACTGTGACATGTAAATTCATAAGAGGAATAATTTTGAAATGCAGTCTCATCTATTTTTCCATGCTGCATTTTTCAGATCATGAAAGGCTTTCTGTAAAAGACCAATATATTCAAATTTACTGGCCACAAAAACATCCCTTAGGAACAACAGATCTTCTTCAGGAAGTATTTGTTCCTTCAAGTAGATTTAGTGCTGAGACAGTGTGGCAGCTAAAGCACAAACAGAGGCTGTTGGTAAAGTGGCAATGCATAACAATGTTGTGATGTATTACAAAGGAGCAATTGCCTGCAGCTCGCCGCTACGGAGATGGCAATGAAGTTCTGCTTTACATATTCCAGGCACTAAAAAATTTGTAGCAGTGATTACAGGAGGTTCTTCTTCCCCTATAAGAGGAAACAAAAGCTGAAGTCAATTAATTGAAACATTGATTTTGTATTTGGTCAACATTTTAGAAACAATGCAAAGAAAACTTAATGCCATACATTCATGAGGCTAAACTACCGGTTCAGTAACTTATCTAAAGAATTAATGCAAACTTTCTCCCCAGGCAGGGCTTCTTAGCGAATGCCTCATTAGTGAATGGACCTAGTTAAGGTTTGGTTGTTGATATTTCCTCAAAGTTAAACTAGTTTGAACTTCAGCTGACGATGCCCAATATGATGATCTCTTTGGGAATCTTCTCTTTGCGGATCAGGAGTCTGCACATGATCTGCAGTTACAGTTACAAAATATTGCAAATTATGTCACTTATGATTTCAATTCAAAAGATTAAATCAAACTGTCCTTTAAAAACCAAGAAAGATCTAGCCTGAGATGCTAAATGAAAGAGCTATTCACTTCTGCTGTGACCACGTAATAAGTAAAGAATAGGTAGCCAGAACAGAATAAAAACTAAAAACAAACAAAAAAATTTAAAAAAAATCTCCTCTCATTATTAGGCATACAAATAACAGGGCTATAAGTATTTTTTATGTCTGGAACAGTAAAAAGGTTTAATGGGTTGCACTCCAATAGGCAGATGATGTTCAGTTCTAAACGCTGTCTCTTTTCTACCCTGCACCTCATCAGGACTCTGGTTTGGGTGCAGGGGGGTCTGAGTGAGTTGCTCAGGGTGGTGCTTTAGGGTAGGGACAGCGACTGGGAAAATGGCAGAAGTTATTGTGGTTTCTTAAGATGTTGGAATATCAGTGTTAAGATCCAACTCTATCAGCTAGTGCTATAATGTTTAACCTCTATAGCTGAAACATGTTAACAAGTAGGTATGTGACTTGAGAATTAATTACTGGAAAGACTGCCTCTTTCTTCCAGTGACTCCCCGGCAGCTGGGATACCCAGCCGACAGCTCTGCAACTGAAACAGGAGGAGAATACTGGTAAAGCATTCTTAAGGAGGCCTTAAATTTTAAACTAGCATCTTTCTCTCATCCAACACCAGAACCTTTACAGACACCATCTGTATTTTTCCCACAAATGTCAGAAAAGGCTATGTTTGAAGATGTCAGGAAATTACAAGAATCTATTACTAATTTTAATAACAGCGTATGTTGTGGTTTGAATCCAGCTGACAGCTAGGTGAGTTACATAGCTGAATCAGAAAATCTGATTTTTTCACCAGAAAAGTTTTCGGGTTTAGTTATTTTGTCCTACAGACTATATCTAGCCGATAGATATCGATGTTTTATCTGTAAAACCAGCACCTACACTCTCTCTCCCCAAGATAATTTTGGCATCAAACACTAGTTATGAATTATCTGAATAATAATTTAAGAAATTAATCCATTTATGAAAACTCTAACAAATTAGCTCACTGCCAATGCTCATTCAAGAAAGAAGCACAATATACCACCAGCAAAATGCAAATATTGGCAAACAGTGATTTTACCTTATGAATACCCTGGCTGGAACATTCCACACTGATGTACTTGTGATGCCAGTTCGATGTACTGTAACTAGTAAAAGCAGGTCAGCTTTTTATATAGCCTGAGGCAGTATTCACACCTTCTCACTGTAGGCGTCCAAGCTGGGTTATCTTATTTTGGAGAATGTCTTCCAAGCATTTAAATTCCTACACTGAAACCCATTTGTTCATTTTCCTCCAGACCCATATCCGATGAGAAACCTCACGTCACTCTGCAACTTGAGTTAACCACAGTACAGGCTACAGCCCTAAAGGTTCTACTATGTGCTGGAGCAAAACAGGATGTCAGGTTTCAGATTTATGGCTGCTCTCTAAGAATACTTCACCATACCACCCTCTTGATTAAACCACACAGCTGTCAGCTGAGTATCCCAGCTGCCAAGGAGTCCCTGCAAGAAAGAAGCTGTCTCTCCTACAACAGGTCAACAAATGAGAAGTGACTTATTAATAGAATTTGAGTGAGATCTGACTTAGTCAAGAATCCCCCCCACTACAGTCAAGGAAAAGATTCATTTTTTCTAAGGTTACTGAAACCTATCTTTTTCTATCATCTTTATACAATGCTTACCTTTCTTTGCAGCCTTCTGTAGAGCTCCTCAAATATTATCTTAAGTATTTTGAGATGGCAGAAATGTGCTCACAACAACTGAACATAATTTTTCAAACTGCTGTAACTTACCTAAACCTGATGATGAAGAAACACTTCCTGTAATGGAAGATGTTTCAGTTTGGTCTGTCAATAGTCCTTCCATTAAAGGTAAAGATAATTCAGACGAAGGAACAGATGAATCATAGATTCCAGAATCTCGAGGCATATCTTTAAGATGTGAAGCTTTAACAGCATGTAACAACGGCTGGAGAACAGAGCTGCCACCACCCCGATTGTCCTGAGTTTCTGTATCTTCTCCGAGGTTTAAGTGCTGAATCATACACTGAGAGTCTGAATTTCCTGCTGAAATAATATTTACATCTGGTTTTAGGTAAAAATCGCCATCCATCACTTGTTTATTCACCAAGTCATTTAAAACCAATCCTGAATCAAATTTTTCCATGACAGGCTCTGAGTAATGTAAAGCAGGTGGAGGGAATGGAATAAATTGTTTCTCAAACCAATCTGGTTCCTGGTCAATGAACTGGTGCATACTGCAAATGGCAACATAAAGAGATCTCCCAGATTTGCTCCTGAAATAATTCCTCTTACTAATGTTAACAGGAAATGCCTCTGAATCCTGTACACTAAGATCTTTGGAATGTAAATGTGAATACAGCTGAGGGAGATTGTCCATGAGTTTGTATTTTGTACTTAGATCCAGAATACCAGGGATGTCTCCTTCACAGGAGTAATCAAAGTAGACTGCAATGAACTTGCACAGATCATTTGAATTCTGCTTTGCTTGACGAAGCTTCTCTGCAACAGTCAACACAGCAAACAGAAAGAGTTCTCCTTTTCCGGCATCTTTGGTTACCCCTCGATGTTTCCAGTTCTTTTTCTCAACAAAGTACTTCATTCCCTTGGAACATACAATGATGATAAACTGGGACTCATTTATTTTTCTAATAAGCCACTCTTTCTGACCTTCTTTACAAATTTTTAGATCTTCCCACAAATCTAGAGCCACCTGGAAAAGAAAAGAACATTTTGGTTGATACTCATTATTAGATATATTTGTTAGTAAAATTTAAATGAGTTCTATTCAGTGAATCACTGCAGGTCACTTCCAACTGAACTATTCTACTCTTTGCAGGAGGAAGAGAAGTCATTTTACAGCTGCTTAGGAGATACTCTGCAATGCAGGTTTTTCTTTTGCATGTGTTTTTGTCCCTACTCTTCAAAATATTGTCTGATCTCCTACTTGTGTATGGTCAAGTTATTATTTTAAACTACTATTCAATGCGCCTGGAATTCTCCTTTATGAGAAAATATCCCAATTCCACCAGAAAAACATTCTGCTATGAATTGCCTATCGTTTATATTAAACTCCACAGCTTTTAAACAAAATGTATTATTTCTGTATGTAATTGTTATCAATATTTTGTTACATAAATCTTTAATGATGCCTGATACCATATGTTCCATGGTCATAGTTGTAGTGGTAACAACTCACCTTAACACTGTTCCAAAGAGGTATGGTATAGCAGGGCTAAAGCACATCTCCAAAAAGGGGATTCCTTTAAGTTACTTAGAAAACACTCTACCTCAACTATTTTAATCTTATACATAAATCATCATCAATTGAAATATCACCCCAAACATCAAATATAACTAGCAACCACGTGAGGCATCGACTGTGTTACTGCGTGTGGCCACTAGAGGACAGACCTGCTGTGCCGTTGAAAGTACAGTTCCAGGTCAGAAGGAAAATCAGTGTTGCAGGACTAAAACGCAGTAAAAGTAGACGAACGACTGTCTTCCCTTTTTACAGTTGGAAAAGTGAAAGACTGGCCACATATTGACTTCATTTTAGAAAGGAGTCTGAAATTCTAAGCCTAGTCATTCAAAGTAACACTTTGAATGCTTTTCTCATAGCTTTAAATCAAAAACGAGACAAGCTGATTTTACAGCATTAATGGAACAGAAGGAAAGTAAAAAAAAAAATGAAAATCAACAGAAATACATAGAGTCAACAATTAATCCTAATTACACAGATTTTGCTCTATGAGTTGGAATTTTGATAGATTCAGTTACTTTAAAATTACGACATAAAATGTATTTTAGGAATAGCAGTGTATTGGGGGACACCAATACCTCTTTGTGGCTGCCAACCATACAGATACAAGGCCCAGTGAACAGAAAAATCAGTCCCGGAATCAGTGCGATACATATTTTCCACTTTTTTTAAAAAAACAAACAAAAAAACCAACAAAAAAACCACCAAAAACATGAGCTACGATCTGTTTCTTTCCAAAAAAACTTTCCCTAAGTAAAGAAACCTTGTATCGTCAATATTTAGAAAACAATGGAAGGTATCTCTGTGGAAAGGATTTTCAGGTACATATTATTATGAGTTTTGGGTGTGCTGTTTCAATTAAGGAAACTCTGTTACAGAAGAAATACTGGGTTTACCTCACAGCCACAGAAGTCCTGAAGAAAATAAGCAAAGCACTGGATGACATTAATGTGTTTCTGGCAATCTTTATTGGAATAGCAGATGAAAACTTTTGGCCGGGGACGAAGTCTTTCCACATGGAGACCTGCAGCACATGTTGAAGATTCTGAGCTCTCCTCATCTAGATGTGAATATATATTTTCTAAATTGGAAGAGAGAAACACACTATAAAGCTTGGGTTTGTTTTTTTTTCTCTAAACGTTTGTAGGCTCATTACTAATGCATACAGTAATGACTTCTTTTTAAATATATTTCCTTCCTTTCTAGATTGAAAAAGAAAGTTGCACACGCTCTATTTATCTAGCTTACGAGTTGCTACACAAGTGGAACACACCTGGAAGGTGAAATGTGCAGTTATTATTATACAACTCCAAAAAACTGAAGGAAGTTTTATTTTATAAACAGAATGATGTTGCTTCACCTCCATCCAGCTTCAACAGCCTTCACCTCTCTGTTCAAATATTCTAAGACTTAAAGATGTATCATCATCAAGAGGTTCCTTTATAATGAAGCCTCTTGTTTTAAAAAACATATCACACAAGCCAGGTAAGAGTATTAAACTAGAGGAACACAGATCCCTCAAGAATATCATACAGTATCTCTCTGGAACATACATACACACACGTTTGGACATTAATTTGAATTAAGATATGATTAGTTTAAATCAAAATAGCTAGCAGTGTTTCTTTGCTTGCATAGGTGCTTTTATGCTGGAACATAAAAGTCTGGTTTTACGTTAGACTAATTCAATCTAGTTCTACAGCTGATTAAGTTAATTTGGAATAAGGCATGAGTATTTCAAAACACAAATATCCATCTACGGATTTAATTTAGAACAATTCATCAGGAATAACTATTCTGGAACAATTCTCTCCACAGACAAATCCTGTTGGTTTTTTTTTGTTGGAACTGTGCTAGCTGTGAGCAAAGGGATAACTACAGAAGAACAGAAGGTAAAAGGATTTAACTCAGACAGCATATAGCACTTGCAGTACACCTCAGTGCCAAAATTCAGATGGGTAACACAGATACATGAGGCCTGGGGAAGTAATCTCTTTTTCCATATTCATGAAATTGCATGATTCCCTAGATTCTACAACAAATGCCAACCGATATTTAACATCTCAATGTAACCAGTGTGGCTTGCCAGCTCCTGGATACAGAGGAGAACGACGTTAGCAAAGAGGGACGGAATCTAATTTAGAGAAACATCTGCAAGTAAGTCTTAGAAATTCTTAGTAAATTTAGGAAGATGGCTTAAAATGAAGTGTAAAGGCAACTTCCAGGAAAAGCAAGCAAATCTGTAATAATAGATACAGGTAGTATTCCAGGCAGTGCTGAGAACTGTACTGGTATCATATGGTTTTACTTTCCTTATGGTTTAAAATAAATGTGAATTAGGTATTTCTGAGTGAAATAAGGGAATGCTTAAAATATATGAATTTACAGATCTTTTTGTATTCTGCATTCATAGATCTATTTGTATTGTACACGGTCATGCAGTACTTTGACAAATAAAAGCAACTTGAAACCAAAAAGATTTCCCAGCAGCAGTTTTGTTCTCTCCTTTCTACAGTGAAGTGTTGATTTGTGATACAACTTCCAACACACAAAAAAACTGTGTGGAAGAAGGACAGAGAAGCAGTAAAGAGAAGAACGCTCTTCAGATAAAAGTATTACTGAAATAAACCAAGCAGCTAAGACTTCTTTGGTTGCAAAAGTGCACCCTTCCATGGAATTCTGTACTGAATAAACCCTCTTACCTTGCTGTTTCTTGCGGCACATCACTGTGAAAAGCGTTGCAAACGCCGAAATGACAACTAAAGGGACTGTAATGGCAATAGCTCTTATTGGTCCAGCCCATGGAGAATGCACTTTGAAAAATAACACAGAATTAGCCATATGCAAATAAGCTTATAATTATCTAATCAAATCTTCACACTGGCAATGCAAAACTGCTGCAGTACAATATTATCAGGTAACGCAAATACACAGTAAAATCAAACATGATGTTGTGCTCTATTTTAATTATGTTTTATGCTGATTGCCCTCATCAGCACAGCACCAGAGTGACTAATACAAGTGCCAGCTGATACCTCCCCCCGTGACGAGAACTCCACATGAACTGCACAGTCAGTTGCACCCCACAGATTTCTGTGCCAGGGTGCTGAACTCGCCGCTTGGAAAGAGCTGTCTTCCTGCAGAGATCACCTGTAGCACCACGCGGTAGGACTCAGTCCATTTTGCCCACTGCTTCCTTGTGGCTGTTGGGTGTCTCCAGTCACACTCCGAAATCCCCCTTTAGCTTCCCAGTAACTGGTGACACACAGACAAGCTAAGCAGTCACCTGACAGGTTCTCCAGGCTCTTTAATTTGATTTCAGGGCTGAAGTACGCAGGCACGTAACGTGCTTAGGTTGCTCTCGCAGTTTCACGGCATTATTTCCACACTACTGCAGGCATCAGATGGGTGCAATTAAGATACAGGCTATGAGTCTTCTCAGCCATGGATACAACTAAAGTGACTTTCCTACAAAGATTTCCAATTATATATTGATTTAAACTGTACTAAATATCAAGGCACAGAGATGCAGATGTGTACGCACAAGTGTGCATGTCTACTCTTTTTTCTTAGATCAAAAAAAAAAAAAAAATCACAGGGCAATTGCCTCAGTAGTCCTGATTACAGCAAACAGACACAGGTCAAATCAGCATTTATTTCCAATGTAATTAAAATTCAATCTAAATTAATAAAATACTGTATATCATCTAAAAAAAAAATTCATACCTGGTTTTAGCGCGTAGTGCATTGTTTTCCTTGTTGTATTAGTGTCATCAACCAGCTTCGAAAAGTAAAAGTTGAATTTTATTTTCTGGAAAATTAATTTCATTTATTTTCTGCAATATGTAAACAACTGCAATAGCTCTCATGACCAAATGTGAAGAAACTAACTGTTAAAAGTTAAAATTAAAGAGCACCTCAAACTAGTAACTAGTGAAATCATCTGTCTTTGTTGGTACATAATTTATTGTAAATTAATTTTCACAGTTCACATGCTGTCATCATCAAGATAAACACACTGCTTTAAGTATAGTAAAAATTGACCAAATTTTAATTAAATTTTAATAAAAAAATGCAAGTCCAAAAATTATGCAGCCAACAACTTAACTTGAAAGTACAGGTGAAACTGCTTTGCACTCAGGGAAGCAAAGCTATGGAACGGTCAAGAACAATCTCCCTAAACCTTTACTTGCACAAGGTACTTCAGTAGGGAAGTCTGAAGTCCAATTCTAGCAGAATGTGACTTGAAATACTTCTAAATTCAGTTAATTTCTCCATCAGTATACTAATTTAGCTGTTGTACAAATGACTCTTTATAAATATTACCTCAATTATATAATCTCCTGGAGATACATTCTGAAGAATACAACTTGTGGTATCTGTGTTTTGCTCCTACATCAAAGAAAGAATATTTTGCAAGTCATTCACATAGTTTTAAAACTTAATAAAAAAATATATTTGCATTGATTTAGAAATACCTAGTGCCTTCCGGCATTAGGTCACCTTAAACCACCTTAAACCTCTCCATACAAACAAGAAAGGACAACAATTCTCTGCCTGAAGAAGTAAAACAAATTATCAAAACAACTCTTAAAAGCTTGGTCTAATACATAAACTGTACATTATGCCCCAGCTTTCAGATACCTAAGATAAAAAGTTGGCTGCATTGAATACTAGTTAAGGAAAATGTACAGCAAACTGCAGCTCTCATAGTAAGACACAGCACACAGCTGATACCATCTCAGGTGGGTATTCTATAAAGTGGACAAATTTGGTATAAAGGTGAAGAAAAAAGTAGGAAATAGTATGTGTAACAAACAAAATTGCAGTTTCAAGTACTAGTTACTTATAGCAACAATGCAATTATTATTTACGTCAATAGCACCCAATAGTTTAAAAAGTTTAAAATGGATAAATTATATACTAAGGTTTTAAAGTTTCCATAAAACCTTAGAACATTTATTATTAATAAATTTTGTGCTTCTAAGAGTTGCAAAACTCAGTGACGTACCTGTTTGCAGGTCTTTTGCTTAAATGGCCCTTCGTGCTTAAGTTTGTAGTGAAGAAAGTAGTATCTAAACCCAAAGCTGTGAGGTGCGTGATCAAAGGACACTTGCATGTTAAAACCCTGCTGGGTAACATTCAGATTCCTCGGCTTCCAGTCTGTCGGAAAACATTCATGAATTGAAGAGAAGTGACTCTTAAAGTACAGTGACTTTGTGTAAGATGAATATACAGAAAGCATTATATTTTACTCACAAGGTTTGCAGACAAGGTTTTCTGGCTGTAGCAACAATTCACAAGCTACAAATACACACAAAAATTATTAATGATACAGTCTTACAATGCAAAGCTATTTAAACTGAGAAAGAACGAGAGCAAAAGGAGTCCATAATTTTGAAGACAGTACCTCCATTTCTTTTCTAGTATCTAATATGCGTGAAGTAAATAAATGTACTGCTATGATTTCGCATTCTTCTCATCTTTAAATGAGAAACACAGGTCTGGCAATTTGAAAATAGCACTCCTTATTGAGATAAAAGGCATAGCAGGGGAGGAAATTAGCCTTAAATACACTTACTCAGAGTAAATCAGTATGCTGAGTACTCTTAAAAAGACAAGTATTACTGCAGTCTGCACCAATAGACTTGAAAATATATTAAGAAAGTTTTATAGGGGAAAAAAACCCCAACATCCTAAGTAGGATAAATATGAACATTTCACCCCAAAGGGTATTTGCAGTTTCCTGTCATACTGTTTAAACACTGAGAAGCTTATTCAAGTTTGTTGTTTCTAATCGCAATGAGAACTGCTAAATAATTTTGAGAAATTGAACTTCATTTGTTGCTATCTGATTTTATATGTACTCACCTATATCTGTCTAGATATCTGGGTTTGAAACTGTGATCTCAAAAACGAAACAACCTGAGCTTCTTCACCGTGTTCAGAAAGAAGAAGCAAACCATCTTTGTGAGTCAAAAGTTCTGAGAACCACAGGAGAGACCCTGCTGTAGGCAAACCTGAGATAAATCTCAGGCCTATCTGGGACTTTTCTTCTGGTTGTTACCTAACCCATACCATCATACGCCACAGATTTATCTGTGGCATCCAAATTCTTTCCATTTAACACCTCAATCTTCCTTCAAAGATTGTCCGTAACTATCTTAACATAGACTCATCTAACATCGTCATCTACTACATTCCTTTGTTGGGAAAACTAAAAGGATGGGGGCACCCATTGGTGAAGAGATGATACACAATACTATACTGCATGCAATACTTACGTCTAGTTCGGAAGAAAAATGGGTGATAATTACTTTCATTTTTAATGGAAGGAAAAGGAACAATCTTTACAAAATAATCTGTTTCGAACTTCAGATTTACAAAGGGCTGGGATTCCACTCCCTACAAAAAGACAAGATTGCAACAGATCTTAACATGAACAATTATACCTGAAAGTATCTTTAAAAATAAGCCCTTAGTTTAGCAAACATAAGCAGAAATTAATGTATTAAGAATGCTTTATCTATCATTCCATTACACATTGACAGGAGGAATCTCAATACAGAGCTGGATGTGGACTATGGCAGAAGTGCACCTGCACTCCAGAGTCACCCAAATGACAGTTTCCAGCTTCAGGAAAGCTTCTGCAGAAAGGGACTAGATCTGTCTCTAAAGCAACAACTACCATCGGTTTAGAGAATGACACTCTCATGAAGCAACATGCACTCCAGTACCTGGTATACTGTGCATATATTTAGAGATATATTGAGATTTATATACACACAATCAAGCAACAATGAAACTTTTTATTGCAACAAAGCACTTACTGTTCGTTTAAAACTGGGGCTGAGCTGCTTTGGATCTTTTAAAACCATCTGCTGGCATTGTCTTCCCTCTGATTTTAACTCCTCAAGTATTACTCGAAATCCTTTCAGGTATTCAATTCCTGCAAATAGCAGGGCATTTAAACAGAAAAGTAATATTTCAAAATGAATTATGTGGTACTTCATGTAATTTGAATATATTTAGTCTGTCTTTAAAAATATAACTCATGAAATATGTTTGTGTTTTACTGTCTATTGTTCCATGTCAGTCCTTCCCACATTTTCTATCTTGCCTATTTAGAATTCAATCTTTGCCAAAGGCTGCAATTACTACACAGTTGTGTAATGCTTGGAGCAGAGGGCCCCACAACTCAGCTAGGGCTTCCAAATTATCACTGCAATGTGAGTTATCATTACCTTCATCGGCCTCAAGAGTACTTCACAGTAACTCCACATTTCCATTATTAGCAATGAAATATAACATTTTTGCTAGCAAACTGTAGAAATACTCCTAAGATCTTCCTATCATTTCTGAGACTACCAGATTAAAGTGATATTGGCTGTTACAACTTCTTTAGTTCTTACATAGCATGTGGCAACAGAAAGCTTGACTTAAATGGAATGGAATTTATTCCAGTGTATGAATACTTCCAGTTATTTATAACTGACACCAGAACTACACCCCTTTTCTTCAATTTAACACAACTAGCTCTCAGCAGTGTCTTCACAATTCTTCGCAATTATCACAGAATTACTTCACTACATGACTAAACTGAGACGTGGTGATGCCAATGTCACAGGATAATGCCAGTGTTACCCTGTGAGAGTTTCCAGGCCTAGGTACCAAAGTCACTGCAGAGATCTTCAAGACTGACTACCACCGCTCCAGGTAACTACATCTCTTCAAGAGCATGACACCTGGCAGAATATATATTTAACACAGACGCAGCCACAGTCTTTGTAAGTTAAATGCTACGTAAAACAAAATGGATTGTCAGTTTATGTTAGCTCTTATGGGTTTGGGGGTTTTTTTAATGGTTTATAATTTTGTTGCAGACGAAGACCATGAGTTGCCCAACATGTTCTTAATATTCCATGAAACAAAAGCACTACTTATGCTTAAATGAAGACCATGAAAGAGAAAGTGTCCAGTCTCCACATTACCAGACATGTTTCAACAGCAGTTCTGTCCTCATGCTCTCCGAAGGATTAACCTCTGATTGTTACAAGAAAGAACACCAAGCTTTGTTCCCCACAGAGATTTGATTCATCCAGTGTGCAGCTGAAGATTACCAAATGCTTGCAACTGCACAGTTCTGCAGAATTATATGTCATTTTCATATACTCTTTTAAGACCCATAAATAAGTCATTATTTTTTATTTTAAAAAATTAAAAAAGAAAGCATGATTTAATACTGTGAGGCCAACAAAAATGACCATTTTTCATATCTAAAGCATTCATTTTAATAAATACAGGTCTAGGCTAAAAAATTTATATCATGTTTAATAAATACACATTTGCATTATTAAACACATCTCACCATTTAGGATGCAATCCTACCACATAAATGGGAACTTCCAGCTCTTACTAAAGGATGATTCAATGACTGAATTTCATGTGTGGTGCTGTCTCTGTAATCTTATGTCAGAATGCATTTTTTAATTCCAACATTTCCCTGTATTATTTCAATCAGCTTTACCGTGGCAGGAAGAACAAGTGGTTTCCCAGCAGTATGTGGCTTTTTGTCTTTCACTATTGAGTAAGAAATCTCAAAAGAGACTTCACAAAAAAAGGCTTCTGAAGATTTATCATTAACTTTAATGAAATTTTCTACATTACTGAGTGTTGCATGGCTTCAAACATAGCTGAAAAAATTGTAGAAATTTGTCTTCACATTCCAGATGCTTAGTTTTCAAATATCTTGCTAATCATAATGGTTTCACAATATTAGTTAGTATCTCAAGGTACACTACACGCTTCGGGCAAGTGTATGGCTGCAGGGAGCATCCTAGTTTTAAGGGTACTCCAAGCAAGCTAGTAAAAATAGCAGCTTTGCAAAGCTGTTAAGAAATTCTTTCATCTTAAGCAGTCTGCTTGACGATTTCAAGCATAATTTATTTTACTTAATACTAATCGGCAAGAAGTTATTACCAAGGACATGATGTAGTTCATCTCCCTCTACTACTTACCGATGGCATTTGCCGTCCAAAGCATTGTCACCGCAACCTGTTCGTAACAGGCATACTGACTGATGGTGATATTCTGCACGTCTCCAATCACGTGTTTTCCCACTGAATTCAGATAAGGCGTGCAGTCTAAAAATATGGAGAAATAAATGCTTTAAGAAAAACACTCTGGCTGACGTGCTTTTACTAGAGCCAGTAAATCGTCATCTGCCAACAGCACCGAATCTTGAAGATCTATTCAAGCAATCAGTTTCAAACACAACCTGCATCTCTCCATGCAAACAATTAAGTTAATTTCCTAACACTACTTCAAGACTGAGCAAAGTAAAGGTGCAGGTGCACTATGTAGTCTATGAAAATAAGCACTGTACAAGAAATCTAGATGAAGTTTTCGTCTCAGGACACTGAAAAGCACAACCACTTTCACCAGTTGCAAAATCCTAGTTCACAGGATGCTAAAGGAAATTAGAAGTTTGTAATAGCAGTGCAGTTTGTACCACAGTGAGAGTAACAATGGCACATACTGGGACTCCCAAAAGAGAGCAACATTTCCTCACTAATTATCTGAAAGAATATGAGGACTGACATTAATTTTGTGCATGTGTTTAGAGCTAGAGAATGTTGGTCAATGATCAGGCAAGTAAAAGAACAATGAACAATATGAAGCTTTAGACTGGTGCTCAAGAAGGGCTTTTTAACCATGATGCTGCCTGAGCCTGTGCACAAAGAACTCACTGCCTAAATCTGTCTCATCTCTGCCATCCATCCAGTGGCCAAATCCCAGCAGACCGTTTTCGTGCCACTGAATCCAGTCAGAAACGGTTTTGTCGTGTTAGCCTCAAAAAATAAAGGGTATTTTCTGAAGTTATAGCTCCACAAACATGTGATTATAGAAAACCTCAGCTTTCATTAAGAAAATAAAAAAACATTCTTGATTTTGTTGTTGAACTTGGCTGTGTCTTTATGCATTCAAAATAAGAAAACAAATAACCCCAGATTTTAGTACTTCTAAAGCCTTACAACATTTAAGCTTATATTTTGCAGCAGGTAGAGAAGTAGTGGTCAGAGAGTTCAACAGTTCTGGAGCACAGTGTACACGAAGATGTGTATGCACAACCACCCTGCTTTTGAACTAGCTGAAGCCAACACAATCCAGAAAAAGTTGTCCAGTAGACTGTATGTTATGGACTGATGATTAATTCTAAAAAGCTGAGATAATCTACATGCTACATATTTGTCTATATAGAGGTTTTAGAAACGAAACATGAAAAAAATCAAATGTTACGATAAGCCAATTCAGGAAACAGAAATCTAATTCAGAGGTATGATCTGTAAAGTAATGAAAATAAAATTATTCATTGAAAAGCAGTTGCAGAAAATGGCTTTTTACTATGAACTACAATCGTAAGGAATCTTTTATGTAACTGCCACGCAAATAAGAATAGAACAGTTTGCACAACATTGTCTTCTACAAAAGCTGGGCAGTGGGTACTTACTATGCTGTTTGTAGAACTCTGTTGCTACAAGTGAACTCAATGATAGCACAAACTTCCTCTTAGGAGAACACAGTATCTCCTTCAATGGAAAGTTTGAAGTAACAGTTTTTCTCTAGGTCTGGATGTGATTAATAGCAAGCCCAAGATTTTGGATCCCAGTTACTAAAGTTTTACGGCCGAACGACAATTTGCCAAAATGGAATATAGTACAAATGTCTGAAGTTTGACCGTGAGTCACTTATTTACATTTTTAAAGAACAACAGGTTTAGTAATAAAACAGCAGGGAAAAAATGCAGTTTTCAGGAAACCACTTCTTTTACTTGAATAAAACTGAAATGCTACAACGTACAAGCATTTGGTTTTCACCTGAATAAATAATCTAAGCAGCTAGTTTAACAACATAAAACACAGTAGGCCAGAGTTGCTGTTTGACAAAATAAATGCCTTTAAATCACTGCTAGCAAGCCAAGTTCTCTTTTGTGCTGGCTATTCACGGTAAGTATGTATTTCCATATTATATGAACTCTTTAACCTTGATATCAAGGAACTCTTTTCCTGGTATTGCAGAACTCAAGTAACTCCTTTGTCCAGGAAGCAAGCAGTGCCAGCAGAATTCTGAATTAACACTTTTCGTTGGTTAAACACAGTTACTGGTGCCAAAATTAATGGAAAAACCATGACAGATACTGGGAATTAAGCAGACTCCATTGTGTTAACTAAACATGGGGCTCTCTGTTCTGACTGATATTATTTCCTGTTCTTCTTTTTGTAGATTAAAAAAATCTTAACTGCTTTGTAGCAACCACTTACGCCCTGTACAATCACGTTGCTCTAACACCAAATTAGACTGAAAAAGATTCACAGTGAAGGACTGCTAATTCAGAAATTCACATAAAAATAGAGGAACAAAAGGATGATCAGAATGAAACAAAAGCATTATTGTTAGGTTTCCTCATATATGATCTCAATGAAACTTCAACCACATTCAGCATCTAAGGTAATTTCTTTGGGTGGGCAAAAATCCAACCTGTGACTCGTACTAGCATTAGTACAAATATTATTGCTGTAAATTAGAACCTTCTCTCGACTGTACATTGAATTTATATTGATGATGACCACTAAATGCCCAAATTAGGATAAATACCCAATGTAGTCAATAATCATACTTTGCTGACTAGAAAATATAGATGATAAAAAACTTTAAAACATGAAAACAGTAAGACACAGCCATTTAGCAGACATCTGAAGAGGTCTGAAGTATTATGACTGTAACCTGCTTATTACTTTTATTATGCTAGAGATTACTTTCTTCCTAGTTTAGCTCCAAAAAATGACCACATCTGCTACAGTACTAAAACCATCTCAAAAAAATTACATCAGCTACAGTACTAAAACTATCATCTCTTTTTGCACAAACCCAGTCCCTTAACACTGTAGGTAATTAAAAGTTCAACTGCTTCAACTAGATGAAGAGATGCTATTCATCTTCAATACTGATCCCTACAAGGATACATTTTTACATTCCCTGTACACAAATGCAAACGACACATTTTCTACCTTGAGACAGACCACTTTCCCCAAAAATTACACATCAGAGAAAAGAGGTATAAAGCTTGAAATAATCCTTTTCCTATGGCTGTGTGTAGTGAACCTTTCAATGACTACATCCACACACACAATAAAATAATCCTCTATAATTTTCCAGCCAAATACTGGTCAGATTATGTAGCACAATCTGAAAGTGAAACTACCAAAATTTACGAGAACGTTTTACTACCAGTGAAACATAGGAAAGAGAAGATGCACCAGACCCCCCAAAATATCTACATTTAAAATTACATCAATACTAAAGAGTTTTTGCTATTCTTAAAGCCATTTTTAAGACACACATTGCTATATATATTGATAACTGTGACGGAGTCATTCACTTTTGTGAATATAGTGCAAATTTTCAACTTACTGTCATATTTAAAGGTGATATTGAGTAGTCCATTGCTCTTGGCAACTGATGAGAGTCCCTGTAAAGAAATTTCAAGAAAACAATTTGAATAAAGTATTTGAACTTACGTAGATTTTTATTTTGCAAATAGTTTGATGGAAGATGATACAATTCATTATTTTTTACCTTCTGTTTGGGCACACCATCCATCAATCTGAATGTGGGCAATGACAGAACAGATTGTATATACCTATGTGTACTCACCTGTCATCAATTTTCCAAATGAAATACAGTGAAAACAAAGAGAAATGAAAGTCTGAATATAATGTTTGCAAGAAGACATGAAACTGTGACTTAAGTAGTGTGACTTGCCCAGTACATTTGACTCATAAAAGTTACGTGATGTTCTCAATTTTTGCCTCCTAGGTTAATCTTGCCTGTGAAAAACTCACACCTTTAATCAAGGTTTAATGACAAATCAAATTGGGTTCTCCAGAGCAAACACGATGGGAGAGGAGAGAGAGAATGTCAGTCTGAAAAAGCTGATCTCAATTCCAGTCATGACAAAGAGCACTAGAAATTCAAGCAGAGAGGAGAAGAAATATCGCTGCTAAGCGCTACGGTCATAGCACTTTAGCTCTATTTTCTTGGTGAAGGTCATTTTCAGGAAAGAAATTAAAGGTTGGAGCAATACAGTAAGAGAAGTGATTAAAGAGCACTCATCACCTCCCAGACACTCCTCAGTCACTGGCTGCCTCACAACAGCTGCCGGAAGGACTCTATTACCTACCTGTCAGTCGGGCAAACTAACACACCAAAGTTTCAGCACACCTGGAACTCATCCATAATCAAATCACCCTTTTCTTTCATAAGTCTAATATTCAATGCTTGTAAGAACTAGTCAGAACTCGAAGTTTAACATAAGCTGAGGTACGATAAGCTAGGACACAAAACCTATGGACCAGTTCATCAGCGTGCCTGAATTGTAGATGGCAGAAACTCTTACTACAGAGAAAATATCAATATCCGGCATTTAGATATGTGCCCACATCTATTCTTCATTAAATTATTTTATACAGATATACTTATATGTAATTTATGTTTCTGTGCCTGATATAATTCTTGTGAAATTTGTATTTCCACATACTTTTGAGTCTTATGTGGCTTATTACTCTTCTGATGTATTTAGCTGAGAGGCCCACAGATACAGGCCTCAATCATTTTACCGTGTATCGCAAATATTGTAAAGAAATTCTTGCTGCAAAGAGCTTAATTAAACAAAAACTCAGACTGAGAATTTACGTTCCAATTTTCCCCTTGATTATTGGCTAAAATCAACAAATAGTTAAAGGAGAACAAATGAAACAGCTGATTTCCAACTGGAATAATTCAGACAATTATATCCTACAACTTTTCCAGTAGAAATGCATATTGTACAAATCCATTAGACTACATCAGACACCCTTTTCTACTATCATATACTATTGAAATAGACACTGCAATCCCTGCTGAGTGTCAGCGAAACTGAGGACCAACCAGAGAACTGCTACATTGCTCTCCCAGGGAGGAATCCAAACACCCACACAAGCTGATGAGCCTAGTGTCTCTTCTGCCCTGGAGGACAGGCTGCGAGAGGTGGGACTGTTGAGGCTGGAGAAGAGAAGGCTCCAGGGAGACCCTCCAGTGGCATTCCAGTAAAGGGGGCTACAGGAAAGACAAGGAGGGGCTCTTTATCTGAGAGGACAAGGAGTAATAGTTTCAAATTGAAAGAGATTTAGGTTAGCTATTAGGAGGAAATGACTTTCTGTGAGGGTGGCAAGACACTGGCACAGGTTGTTCTGGGAAGTGGTGGAAGTCCCCTCCCCTAGAAGTGTCCAAGGCCAGGTTGGACGGGGCTCTGAGCAATCTGGTCTGGTGAGAGGTGTCCCTGCCCACGGGATCTTTAAGGTTCCTAGGGGATCTTTAAGGTTCCTTCCAACTGAAACCATCCCGTGGTTCTGTACCTATACAGAACAATTTTGGACTTCAGAGGCAGAAGGCACTGAAACTGGAACCACAAATCACCACATCATCCTCAGCCTTACTAGACACAAAGTTGAAAACTCTAACACTGATTCTTGCAGAGTAATAGCATTCCCTGAAAGGCAAATAACAATATTTACCTTTTTTTTAAAAAATAAAAATAGTACCCATTTACATAGAATTGTATCTAGATTTACAGCTATGAGGTAAAGGACAGAAGAAGTTAATAGTATAAAAGGATTCCAACAGTAATTAGATATTGTCACAATCATGTGCAAACATTCACTGCCTGTCACAGACACAAGTGTTCAGAAAGAAAAACAAGGTATGAGTTGCCTTTAAAAACCCCAACCTGTAAAATAAAGAATGAAAGCAAAGCAGATCTTGACAGTACTGTTGGAAGTTAAATATGTAATCTTGCTTTCTTCATACATGGTTTTTGATTTGTTTAACTTTGATTTAGTTTGCCATTAAACAAGTTGTTATACAAAAAAAGGTTTCCTGAAACAAGAAGGCATCAATTTTTTTTAATCTTAACTTGTCCAGTAATAACTGTTCTATTCTGACTCAGTTTCTGCTTCTCCTAAGTTATATAACATCTCAATTAACTTACTACCACAGCAAAACAAAGACATTACATGTGTGACAAAAAATGTTAAAAAATAAAAAGAAACTGTTGATTTTTAACTATCGAATTGTTACCCATATTCCTTTGTGTTCTAGAACTGAACTTTTCAGATATTAATGTCACAGCCCACAGAAAATCAGCACAAGTATTTTAATTCTTTATATCCTACATTTTTAAAAAATATAACATAGCAATGTTTTTTACTGCACTTTCAATTGCATTTTTTCTGGAATTGTAGTGACATCACAAAATACATAACAGTAGAAGTATAAATCAATATACCACAATCATTAATAAAGTAGCTGCAAAAAATAAATATAACATAATCTGAACTCTGCTG